CACGACACCTTCAAAGACATATCATAGTGGAGTGACAGTTTGACATGGAATATCTTAGATGAAATCTGCTTGACTGCATCACTCCTATCTGACTAACGTCAGAATTACAGGATGAAGTGCAGCGAATTGTACAACTTATTTATTTATAATTTACCAAGATACACTACTTAAACGCATATATATATATATATGTATATATAGTGGATAAATTACTCTGAACTCTTCTATTGCCATAATACGTATACAGTGAAATGCTTCAGTGACTGCGTATGAATAAGTAACATAATTCCGTTGAATTCAATCAAAATTCGACAAACCATAAAGTCAAATGTGGGCAAATATTCTCTTGTGTAAATGCCAATTGATTCACACAAACACCCACCTACCCACCAACATGTATATATATATATATACATATATATGTATATATATATATATATATATACCCTGAAAATGTATATTTATTCCCAATGTTGACTAATTCAACATGCATGAAAATTTATTTTCTAATATAATTAAAAAGTTGATAATGGTTCAATAGTTTTTCTTGTTGCTCAAAAATAAACAACTTTTCTTTTGAATACGTAATCACCAGGAAATACTGGCAAGAGTTTCTGTACTATTTTATTCCCTGCTGAGTTTGCCTTACCTTTTTCAGAGAATATTCATACTATTTAGATTGTTTGGGCTACAAGATTTCATCATTAGCTGACATCGGTTAGACAGCGATTGAAAAAAGCAGCTGGGAGCACTGGACAGTTGTTTCTGTTGCCCCAATTTGGCATTGACGAGTCAGCAGTAGGGCATTAATTATATCGGTAACTCGAAAATAATACTTTTATGTCTATGAGGTTTAAGTGGATGGTATTTTCAAAGTTTTGTTGTCAAAAGTTCCATGGCCTAGATTCTATTCGAACTCATTCACTGTATGAGAAGAATAGTTTCTCACTGGAGTTCCTATTCCACAGTTGCATAGTACTGAGTGAAATTCATCGATAAGGCACAAAAATGGCACAAGACGGCAATTCACTCTGATTCGATTTTATGTCATGTCACACTAAGGATGGTATGCCACACCATCTTCAATTCTGAAGGGATTATGCACATTAAGCGGCGAATAAAACACTTATTTGTGTTAGTCAGTTTTTGAAACAGATTGTGTCACACAGCTTTTATGTTTTTACTACTAATAGTAATCATAAGTTAAAAGAGTAGACAAAAAGTGTACATAATTTATCTACACTTAGTGAGACGTTTCAACGGTTCAGACACTTGTCGCGACATAAGAGCACCTCAAACAAACTACAGACCTTCATCTACAGCTAACTGTCTTCGCTCAATGCTACTCAAGGTGAAACGGCTGGCCAAAAAAGATCAGCAATAGGGAAGGATCTCTGGGAGCAAACCAACCAGGAACCGATTGTGCAACAAATCAGCAGACAGAAATGGAGGTGGATTGGTCATACTCTGAGGAAACAAACCATCAAGTGACATCACTAGACAAGCAATTGCTCAAGTGGAACCCGAAAAGGGAAACGGGCGGCGAGTTGGTCTTCAGTGCGAGAGTGGGGTGACTTGGGGGAGGTCATGTAAAGAGGATATTTAAAGCGTGTGGGCAGACTTGGAGCCAGGTGAAAATGTTGGCAGAGAACCGAACGCAATGGAGACGAGGGGCTGAAGCCCTATGTTCCTCTAGTAATTAAAGGAAATAATAATAGTGAGACTGTTATTCAACAAATGCGAAACATAGATGGAGAGCGAGCCAGCGAGCGAGATTGAGAGACAGAAAAGACAATGGAGACATATATGTATGAGGTGAATGGAAGCATCCATGTAGTTTTCAATGATGTGCTAGTCATATTCTTACAGATCAAATATCTTCGTGTCATGCATTTAGGCTTAGAAGTGTCCACATCTAGAATAATGAAAAGTAAAAGAAAAAAATAAAGAAGAGAAAAACAGGCAAACAGAAAAAAACAAACCGGTTGGAGACAAAAATAAACAAAAAATAAGGTGGAATGCTGAAGATGGTGTGTAGGTGAAGGTAGGTGAAAAAGAACAAAGTCAAAAGAAAAGTTGAACATCTCAAAATCTTGTCCTCTTCTTGCTCTTGTTCTTCTTCTGCTTCTCATCTCCACTTTTCCACAGAATTTGCTTCTAATCTTTGTTTGAATGCGAAACGATACTCAATAAACTTAATTAAAAGTAAAGTATAAAACCTCAGTTTACACAACAAACTGATTGAATTTCATTCGTTTTAGTTGCTGAGAATTAAAGTGTGAAATTAAGCTGGTCAGTTTACGACATTTTCGATATGCATGCGTATGTGTGAGTACATTGTATGTCCAGAATGTCTGTTATATTCTGAGGGAATTCGGTAGGTATGTACGTACGTATATAAAGGCACTTATCAGATTGAATTCTTGTTTTTTGTGTAAATTAGATGCTAACAGTGATATAATGCAAATAAGATATCCTGTGGTGGACGGTAATCACGATGGTGATGAAGCAACCAAAAAACAAAACAAAATTAAGAAATCACTAAATCATATTTCTTGAAATTGTATATACCATATGTACCCTTTATTCTTAGTCATAGTCAATACAAAAAAAGAAAGAAAGTTTAGAAAAAAAACTCCATTTTTTTGGTGGATTTAAATCTCACTGGCGCTACTGGTGAGTAAAGATGATGACCTAAATATAGACGAAAATATGTTGAGAGAATCCACCGCAATTACTGGTCGACTATTTAGTCTCTATGACACAGCTACAACTATGAGTAATGCTCACTAATCTTTTTTTCTTTTTCACAAATTTCTATAAAGCATAGAAGTATCAATGAAGTCATTGAATCGTCAGTCTTGGCCGTAACTGTTGTCAACGGATTTTAGCATATGTTGAGTGACTTTCTGAAATGGAATGTAGTTTTCGTTAAAAACTCATTGTTCATAATGTCGACTATTTTTTTCCTTCACATTCCCAGTGGAACATGGGGTTTCAAGCTAGAGGCTTGCATTTTCTGTAGCAGTGTTTATTATTTTACAGGATGGGGTTGCTAGCCAGCCTCATGCCCAACCTTTCCTTTTTACCAGCATTATTTCTGGCCTAACAAGGTAAAAAGTTGCTTCAACCGGGGATCAAACCCCGGACCATGTGCATGGTCGGTGAGCGTCCTTACTGCTGTACCACGGACGCAGTATTTAACGGATAGTTAAATTAAACCTTGATTACAAGCGCAGCGCATCATTCTAGTTCGTATCAGTCTTACTTAAAAGCTGATAGATCTGCCGTGAATTCACCTACACCCTGAAGAATGACAATACGCGGGATATTTACTGAAGTGGTTGTCTTTTACAAAGAAATTAACATTATTATTATTATAGTTCAGAGTAATCAGAAGTAGTCAGATAAGGTTTTAATAGTTTGTGTATACACCAGTACACATGTAAACAGACAATCAGAATGGTAAGTTGATTCACTGGTAAACATGGAGTAGATGTCGCTCATTTCGATGTTATTAGAGAGAGAGAGAGAGAAAGAAGAATTTCTATTCAAGATGTTGATGCATATAAGTGATGGATAAAAAATAACGAGAAAAAAAGCCTCAGGGTATTAAAATGTTGAATAATAATAATAATACAATATCTTATTCAATTTTTACCCTGGTCTAGTGCATCACTTATTCCACTTCCTATGACTGACTCCATCTATTATGCTCATTTAACTGTGTATATTCAAGAGTGAATAAAATTTCTACACAAATATCATTTATTTATTTATTATAAGTGGTTATCATTGTCTTTTGCAGTCTGAGGTGGACGTTCTTCAAATCAAAGATAGATCTCGCTCTCTCTCTCTCTCTCTCTTCCCCTCCACCTCTTACTTTAAATGTAAAGTGAAAAACCGCCAGAAGTATTTACCATAATTTCTTTACGCCTATTTTAATTTAAGTGGATGATGAATGAAAGAGGAAATTAAGGAGTAGTATGGGTACCTTCTTATGCGACATGACAGTTCTCCTAATTACTATTCTTATTTATCGATTTTACACTGGTAGTTCTGGTTCATGCACTGGTCGTCTTTTGCAATAGTTTTGAATATTTAAGTCGAAGTTACTTGCCAATCTAATGTGAACACACACTCATGCATTTTTACATAATTTATTTATTATTTAAGAAAAAAACATTTTATCCCTGTACTTTCCAAGTGAAACATGGACCTTCAAGCTTGAGATTTCGAGTTTCCGTGGTGGGGTTAGTAGTCTCACGTCCAACTCTGAGCGTTTACAGAGCTTACTAGCGGTCCATATATTGGGATAGCTTTATACACCTATCATATGACCAGGAGTGGGAAATACATCCCATCATCTCGCTTCAGGGGAAGAACTCATTCTATAATCCCCCTCCTAAGCTTAAGCTGACCATATGTCCGATGGGGTGTCTGATGACGGAATGCGTAAGATGAAACTTCGTTAAACTCCTGTAATAATTCCTGTCTGCTTAAAACACACTGGTCAACTTCCTCAGTGGTCAACGTTAAGGCAGAAGATAGTGTGCACAACAACTGGAGATTTGCTGCCCTAGTGAATTCGCAATGTTCTTTTCTAAGCTGTTATTCTTTGAAGCAGAGCTTCCAATGACATTTTTTAATATTAAATTCTGTGTTTTCCGGCAGAAGATGAGGATGCTTGTCTAGGTAAGAATTTAAATTCAGAGAATTTCAGAAAATAACAGAGTAATATGAGCAGATCCTTTTTCGTAATACTAAATGACTTTTATTCAATCTACTATCAACCAATGGAAATGAAGTCACTTGAAGAGTATACATATATAACAGTTCATATTAAAAGACACTTTGTGACTGGTTGAATCCCTGAAGGTATGAAGTGACAACCTGTGTAATTAACACTCCTTTTCATGAAATGTGTTTTTTGTGGAGGGGGGAGTATTATTTCTCCTTCACAGATGATAAGAACATTTTTTTTCTATTGTGTTGCCTAGGTCTGTCGGAGAAACTGAATCTGCACTTATAAACTTTCTGAACGACAAAGATCTTAATGCATTGCATCACTTCAGTCCTATCAAATCCTCCTAAACAAACAACAGAACCGCATCAGATGACAAGGAAAAGTCTGTCTCCATCATCACCGCCTACTCAAGTATCAGAAGAACTGTTTCACTCATCAATGCTCACACGTTCAATGGTCCAATCCTCGCCTACTTCATATGTGTCGTCAATTCCATCCCAATCAACTGGACTAGGAATCAATTCAACAAAGCCACTCACCTCAAATTTGAATACCAATGTGACTAATTCATTAGGACATTTACCATATGATCCTTTTAAATGCAAAGTCAACCTCCCACTTCAAGACGGTGATTCTCGTGGTATTTATGATACTTCTGCATTAGTAAACAGTCAAAATCTACTATCCAGTTTACCGTCAGTTTGTTTCGGTATGTCAAATGATTCTTTATTAAATCAAATAGCAAATGGACAAGCAGTTAACCTTCTGTCGTCTATGTCAACACCATTTCCCAGTGAACTATGCATTAACAAATTTCCAGACAGTCTAGTTCGCAATTGGACTGAGGGTTTCACTGCTACAAATTCTCAAATAAGTAATCCTTCGATAAATACTTCTCAGAGCATAAATATGCTAAGTGGTATGAGTGTCAGCAGTGCTGCTTTGTCTTTAAAATGTCAATCTGCAGATATACCGCTTAGCATTAACGATACAACTTTAGAATCCCCTGATAATCTAGTCGTGTATGGATCAATTTCTGACAACAGCAACAATCATTACAGTCTGGAAAAGTCGAAGACAACTCTTTCAGACACTGAAAGTATTCAGAATAACAATTTCTCTGGTATAAGTACAACTGTCTATCAAAATCCCTGTATCGAGTCAAACAAATCTCGAATCAGTAATCATCATACTACTGGCAGCAGTATAACTCAGACTGGTACAACGAGAAAAAGTGATGAAGATTTTTGTGACCTGTGTCAAAAACACTTTTGTAATAAATATTACCTACGTAAGCATAAGATAGATGTTCATGGAATACACACTGAACCATATTCACACAGTCGTCGACGTGCTGGTGAAACACAAATCGCGGTCAATACAAATCATACAAAAAGCATTAACTTATCTGTTAACAATATCGGTGTCAGTAGTACAACAATATCTAATGCCAGTGTTATTACTCCACCGCTTATCGGCAATACCAGTAGCAGTGTTATGCTTAATGGTGATAATCTAAAGATGAGAGATAAGTCTAAAGCAGTCGATTTTTCAATAGATTATGAAAAATGTAAACTGAACGACTTTCAGTGTGAATCGTTTAAACCGCATTCACCAACGAAATTTGAATTAAGTAATAAATCACTGTCCAACATTTATGATTATATGAACTGTGGAAGTAATTTACTCTTCTCTAGTCAGAAAAATGAACCACTAAATGAAAACGTCATCGGAGGTGGAATTAGTCAGTGGAGGAAAAATTGTGTAAGTACTACTAATATAAATACATTCAGTAGTATAAAAAACAGTGATAATAATGGTGTTGGTCAAGCTCCTCACCCACCAGAACTCAACCTGAGTCTGATCAACAGCGCAACAAACAGCACATGCATATCACCCACTTTTGATGTGAATACTACAACAGCTAATAAATACAATGTTGGCAGTGAAGCCATGTCGAACATAAATGATCAGTGCTCGATAAATTCGTCGGTATTGGAAACGAAAAACTTAAATCCACTACTATCAGCACATCATTACTATATGATGGCGTTGGCTGCAAATTTTTCACCCTCTACAGCCAACCTGCTTAACGGATCAGAAATGATGATGAAATCAAGTTTGACAAATAAATTCACCTCAAATCTGGACATTCCTTTCTTGCCTATACCAACAGCTTCTTTTGATATGAACAATATTGCTTTGAATGAGGCTCAATGTGATCAATGTCATAAAGTATTTTGTAATGAATACTTTCTTCAGCTGCACCGTCTAAGTCATCAAAGTAATTCAGATGGATCGTTAACGAGGTGCGATGAAAGAAGTTTTGATGCTTCTGAAGAAATGACTACTGAAATTAAAGAGGTCAGTAATATCGGTAGGAAAAGCACCCTACAGTGTGATAATGAAAAATCGGATATGGACACTGAAAATGATATTGGTCTTGATTTTAATTTACACAAACGTGATCGAGACGAAACAGACGACGAAAATGATAATCATCATCTATTTCCATCGAATAAATTTAGCATTAACGACATGAATATGAGTTATTCAAGGAGTTCAGAGTTCAGAATTAGTGGTAGTCATTCATTAGACGCTTTTAAAAACAGTATGGTTGCAGCAAAATTGGCTGATCGTGTGACCTGTGAACTCTGCAATAAAGAATTGTGCAATAAGTACTTCTTAAGAACACACAAAATTCGAGTTCACGGTGTATCACCAAAAGATGTTGGTGGACCACCAATGCGTAACCCACCGATAATTGAAAACTCATCGCTTTCTTATCCTTTGAATGAATCACGGATTGGAAACTGTACAGCTACTTCACAAGAAACAAACTCTTCACTGAATTATGATGATAACTGTAAAACAGATTCAGCATTTTGTGAAGATATGATGAATTCTTTCAACTCTGCATACTCGACACTCGGTATGGTAAATCAATTTCTTCCACTTGCTTACTGGCCATTATTTGCTGCTAATCAATTTGTATCCGAAAAGGCTGTAAACTGTCAAATAGACAAGACAGCACTACCTGCTTTAGACAGTCTGGCCACATGGAACAGTTTGAATAATCCTATAACAAGTGATATGCATAATCGAACAGAAAGTACACAGAATCTAGCACTACCGGAAATTCCGTCTGCTGTAGCACTGATTTACTGTCCATTGTGTGATATGCCGATTGGACCACGTTTATTCTTACCTACACACTTGAACAGTGTTCATAAACTGTGTCCAACTGATCCAGACTTCTTTATGAATATGTTACGCGCAAAACCGATGTCAAAAGCAGAGCTAATAACTGATGGAAAAATCAGTAATTACTGGTCTACAATATTTCCTAGTCTCGAAAACAAACAACTAGGCAGTAATAATGATCAAAATAATAATAATATGCAATTGAAGTCAACAAGTGATACATTTCAAAAGGATCTCGATGTACATCAGTCGAGTAATAATGACATGGGTAATGGAAGAAATTCACCGTCTGATAAAAGTGAAGATGTTCTCAATATGAATACATTTGGTGACAATTTAATCATCAAAGAATTACAACCATTTGTTCAAAGTGAGTAAAGTAAATCCTTTTTTTTATCAAAAGGTGTATATATTATTGGTTATAGGATTTCATTGAACCATTAAAAATACTGGACGGCTGATTCGTGTCAGTTTAAGACTCTCGAGCAGTACACACCCACCACCAAAGTTGGAACCCAGGGCCTTCTGGTTACGAGACGAGCTAGATCGTAGATTATTAAGTCACTGAGACACGACTTGGTGCCCCATGAATTGCCACTTCTGCCAATTCACGACACAGCACGACCACTAGCCAATGTCTTTGACGAGTATTTGTCCTCCCACCCGACCTTCTATATCCTACTGGCCACGACTTCCCACTAAAACCCCATGTAATTATCTACCTGAACACGGCTGGCCGCTAGTAAGCATCTCATTGATATTCAAGTATTGGTTTGTAGGATTCCGAATAAAACACTGGGAGTTGAACAGCACATCTCCAATATATCTTATTGTCTCGGGTCCTCTTTAACTGATTCCACGATTGCTTCCAAAAAGCACTTTCATCTCCTTCTTCTCACGCGATCTCCTCCATGTCACTCTCGGACCAACACCAAGCTCATCATTTCCCATTCGAGTCCGCGCGATGTCATCCAATGGTCTTCTCAGCGTTATATCCAATCCATCTCCATTTTTTTATGCATATTCGTTAAGCAAAAGGTTATTGACTAGTTCGTTCCCATAGTTTAAAAAAAAATTGTTATCTCTTTTACTCCACATGATCTTCAGTATCGAGCGAAGGAAGCTGTTGATAAGAGTCTACATCCTGTTGGAAATCACATAAAACTGCTAAGTTTAAAATATGATTTCACTACACTAAGTTAGAGATTATACTGTTGCGGCGATAAATTTATCCAGAGAAGCATTAAATAAGTTAGTTATTTTTTAATTCGATCCGGGATTCGAAGATATTTTATCAGTGTCACTTGAAAAGAGTGATTATGAGTTAGGAACAGGCTGTAACAATGCTAATTATCGTACAATTTTTTTAGTAACGCTCATTACCCATCATTATATTGAAGTAATCATAGAAGTTTAAAATTTGTCCCTATTATAAGCAGTAAATTGTGCCGAATTCGCAATTAAAAAAACATTGCTGCGGTAGTAATGTACACTATATGAAATAAAATAAAATGATACGGGACTGTGCTCTGCTTTACTACCACAGCGAAACTGTCTTCAATTCCTTGATATTATTAAACGCCTTCACAGCAAACATCTTCCTAAATGAAGTTAGGTATCAATGGAAGTGTCACCAAACCTGGTCACAGGATAGTTATGACACTGAAAAATCTATAACCTTCACACACTTATCTTGCCTATCACATTTGAAAAGTTTGGAGAATGTGAGCACATTGGTCAATGAGAAAGCTCTATGACTTCCGCACGGTGTTTCCAGCATATTGTTCGTCTGTTGAAAGTGGCAGGGGGGGTGGCTGGTGGACACTTGAAACCACAGACAGAGACTAATTAGACCATGGTAAATAAGGGGAATATAACTGTAAAATTTGGTGTCTCGAATGATTGATTTTATTTGTTATATATATATATATATATATATATATATATATATATAACTTGGAGGATCTGAACTTCGCCGATGATATATGTCTGATTTCCCACAAACTGGAAGATATGCAAGTGAAAAGCAACAAGTTGGCAGAAGAAGCATCCAGAGAAGATACGACTTCAGGTGAACATAGAGAAAACAGTTGTGGTGATGAAGATTCCTGACCAACATCAACAGCAACACCAACAAACAACAATCAGCCAGCAAAAGTGGGATGAACCTGAAAGAAACAAACTCATTCACCTACCTACCGACATAGAAGCATCGTTTCAACTACTTGCGGACGGAACTGACGAGGATATCAAAGCAAGGATCGGGAAAGGAAGACAAGCTTTCATTACTGTCAAGTCTGTGTGGAGGTCAACAGAACTGCTCAGCATGCAAATGAAAATTAGATCCGGATTTTCAACTCCAATGTGAAGTCAGTGCTACTTACTTTATGGATTCGAGACTTGATGCGTCATAAAGAGCACTTTAAAGAAACTACAGACATTCATCAACGGCTGCCTTCGCTTAGATGGCCAGAAAAGATCAGGAGGAAACAAACCATCAAGTGACATCACTAGACAAACAATTGCTCAAGTGGAACCCGAAAAGGGAAACGGGCGGCGAGTTGGTCTTCAGTGCGAGAGTGGGGTGACTTGGGGGAGGTCATGTAAAGAGGACATTTAAAGCGTGTGGGCAGACTTGGAGCCAGGTGAAAATGTTGGCAGAGAACCGAACGCAATGGAGACGAGGGGCTGAAGCCCTATGTTCCTCTAGGAATTAAAGGAAACAATAATGATTATATATATATATATATATATATATATATATATATATATATATATATATGCTGAATTAATGACGATGACTACTATAGTGGGTCGTAGTATTAGTAGTAATAATAATGGAATAATAACAATAATAATAGTACTATTAATAACAGTGAAAGATTTTAATTTTTGGCCAAAGAAATAAATTACAAAAATGAATAATTAAAACATAAATATATACATATATATCAGATTTTTCTGCCATACAGAAATGATTTATTAAGCATCTTCTTTCTTTCTTACTCCTTTCTAGTGAATCATCTTAAAAGCAAAATATTCTTTAATAGAATCTCTGATAATAATAATAATAAATATATGCCTAAGTGTATCTGTGTATATTTGTGGGTTTGACAGTGACAGAGTTGATTTTAAAATCTACGACTACTGCTAATAATAATAACAGAGAAGAGATATCAAATTCACTTGATTTGTAGTCATTGTTTTTAGTCATATAATCTGTTGCAACACATGTACGCAGTAATTGCATCATTAAATTCTGTATAAATTGAAAACTTCACTGATTGACTGACTGACTGACTGTGTAACAACAAACAGTCTTGAAGTGCTGCACGGGGTCAATGGATCAGGTGCGTATTCACTGCGTATATCGCCAGATTAAAATATGCCCTGGCACTGTTATACACATATATATGTATATATGTTAATGTGTGCTGCTAGCATGTTGTCATTCTTCAGTCAGTGCCATCTCAGTTCAGTTCATTCTAAGCATAACTTATTCACCTGGATGATTAATGGACAGCTAATATGTAGGGAAGTGAGAGAGAGAGAGAGGGGGGGAAGAGCAAGCGAGAGATGGGGACGCAGAGTAAGCAGTCATTAAGACAATATAGAGAAATTGATGAAGAGAATATAGGAACCTATTAAATTATTATTATTATTATTATTATTATCATTTGACAAGATTCATTTGTATATGACAATTAAGCAGTTTATCTTTCTTTTTCAAAACTGTCCAACAGAGATACTCAGTTTTCATTGTCACTTTAGGAATATTTCTTCTCTCCTGCTTGCCTTTTTCTTCAAAATTCAGTCCTTTAAAATCTTCCCAGAATAAAACAAAGTAATAATAATTCCCCCCCACCCCACCCCACCCCACCCCGCGTCGCTCGCTCAATTTTCATACTTCACCATTCTTCTTCTTCTTCTTCTGCCAGGAAGATGGAAGTCTTCTTTACAAACTCTGTTATGATTTGTGTACACACTACAATCATTACCGTCATTGGGTATAAAGTAAACAAGATGTCATGTAATTGACAGTCGTATATTGTTAGAAATATATTTCACAAGGTCTCTATCACTTATCTTCTCTTTCTTTCTTTTTTTTAACACATGTATATATATTTATGTGCTTTCTAAAAAATCTCAATTTTTATCTGTCAAAAAGGAAAGCGATGTACCAACCAGTTATTATTATTATTATTAAAATATAACAACGACTACATCATAAGTCTTAATTTGGTAACGAAGTAAAAATCTTTTGCCTGTATTGTTGTCAGTCAAAGAATAAGGTCACTGGCCAACTGGCACTTAAAACTGTCCTCTTCTGCCACCTCTGGCGCCGTCGCGACGTTAGCCTGGCTGTCAAAGGTGGGGCATACAGGGCTTCAGTGCGGGCTGTCTTGCTCTACGCCTGTGAAACCTGGCGTCTCCGAGTAGGCTGAGGATATGCGGCGACTCTGTGTGTTCGATCACCGTTGTCTCCACAGGATTGCTTGCGTTCGATGGATGGCATCATCGCGTGAGTAATTCTGAGGTTCGGCGGCGTGTGTTTGAACAAATTGGAGATCACTATTCATTGAATGTCGTTATCTGGAAACACCAGCTCCGGTAGCTTGGACATGTCCTGTGAATGTCATCCAAGAGGCTTCCGTACAGGTCCCTGTGTCGCTGATCAGCCCTGGGACGAGATGGAAAAGGTGGAGAGGTGGTCAGTCCATGACGTGGCATCGTGGGATGAAGGATATTTGTGCTAGATTAGCATCGGTCGGTCCGTCGTGACTCCTTGGTTGGAGTCCGCAAGATAGCTCGAATCGATGGCTTGAAACGTTATCGGATACGGCCAAAAATTGTAATCAATGGCTAACGTGTTGCAATTTCCTTCTTTCTTCCCTTCCCGATGATAGTTAACGAATACTGTTTGAACTTGTTAAGCATGACTGTTTTCCCTCAAAATGAAGTTCTTTATCCGTTCTCTACTTATATTTTTTATGACTTTTGATCTATGTTGTTTTATTATTATTGTGTGGCGCATCCAATCTTGGTGCCATATTGTACAAAGTTTTTTCTGCGTTTAAATAAAATGAAAATCATCAATAAATTCCCTTTGATGATGATGAGGCTGAGAAGCTAGCTGATAGAATGCTTAACTCAAACAGACGGAGACAGATTTTCTCAAGTCTTAAATGAACTCGAAACTAATCAATCATTCAGCGTTGGAACTTGTTTAGATGAATAAAGCAGACCCTTTGTTTCTGATTCTGTGTTTTCTTTAGTTTTGTTTGATCTTGTTTCACCGCATTTAGTCTTGATAACTGATTCAGTGACTTAAGTGATTCAGCAGGGAGATGTTTCTTCAAGAATTGCCTT